ATATGTGGAGCGTGACGCCATGGCCAGCGCGTGCCATCTCGTTGCTACGCACAACATTTAGGCTAAGATCGGTTACTGAGATATCCACCCAGCGGGAGAACAGCGACGCAAAATAAGTATAGGTGCGCAGCGTATTGGAGATCCTCTTTGCAAGGTTCGCAGCAGACTGTCTTGCTTTGCTGTCAAGAAAGTGCTTCCCATGCTGCTCATCGGCAGACGCATTTGTTGTACTGTTAGCAGCGTCCTGGGGAGCGTCTTCCGATACAGAAACGCCGCCGTCATCATCTCTGTCACCAAGTCCAAACCACATTGAGTCCTCTGCGCTATCGTCGTTACTTTTTGTCTTGTGTCCCGGCATCACAAACAGCTGAAGATGTACGCCTCGCGCATACAGCTGAAGCCGCTTTGCCAGGACACCACTGCTACCGCTTCCACAATGAGGAGGAGTAGAAGAACTGTGCATGTTGGCGCCCGAACTGTGGGATTCAGTCGGCGGAGCCGAATCAAGGCTGTCGCGTGATGTCTGGGGAGCAGCGCTCGCGCCGTGTCCCTCTGCTCCAGAGTCTGATGTGGGCGGCAGACCCGAGTGGTGGGACTGGAAATATCTCTTCAGCTGTGTCCACCGCATGCGCAATCTGATGCGCAATCGACGCATTGTTCTAACGTCAAGCCCAATCTCGTCGATACGAAGAACCAGCTCCATCTTGTTCTTTAGCCGGAAAGACAGAATCATCCCGGTTATGCTTGTTCCCCTGAAGCTGCGCACATCCAGCCCAAAGCCGGATAGAAACATGCGAATCGGGATGCTCAGCAGCAAGTGCAGAACGCGCAGTGTTATCAAGTGGGCCAGAGGCGTGACGCAAGCTGGATGGAGCATAAAATGCAGCACGCTCTCGGGGATCCACAGCGCCTCGAGTGCATTGTATATCGCTGAGCCGTTCTCCAGATACTGTCGCGGCAAAGGCAGCAGCAGCGACAGCACGAGCAACCCCAAAAGTAGTAGGAACGTCAATCGCATCGCGTCTGTATTTTATCTGTGTAGGAACTGGTCTTTGCTGTTTAGATTGAGGTAAATGAAATTATATGTAAAATGCGGAAGTGTGTTTTGGAAAAGAAAATACAAAGGAAAAAATAGTGAAAACAAAGTGTTGCAAATTCCGCAAGTAAAAACAAACAGCAGACTTGGAAAAAGGTAAAAAGAAATGACGTTGAACTCGAGATAATTTGTTTGTCTTTTATCAAACAAGCACAATTCTTTTTCGCAGCGCTTGCATAAAACCTTGGTTTTATTTCAGGTTCTGCCTTTTCTTTTTCTTTTCCAATTCAGTTCTCGAATTATTCTTCCTAATATCCTTATCAGACACTTTTCATATCTATTGCACAGTATCTAGATCTGCTCTAGATTGTTTTCTATTTCTCAGTTTGTCTTTTTTATATCAAATAGGATCCTTGCTTGCTGTTGGATCGGGTAACTACACTCACAAGAGGCTATGAATACAGCAATCATCACCGCCATTGCCAGGCGCGGCATCAGTGGCCTTCAGCTGAATACGCGATCCTACACCGCACAAAGCAAGCCGACACTATCTTTCAAGCAATTCATCCAGCGTGGCAAAGTGCTGGCAATGTACCGCAAGTACATGCGGTTGCTCAAGCAGATCCCGGACAAGAAAACACGCAAGGAGATGTGCGAGTGGATCCGTTTTGATTTTGATAAATACAGAAGCGAGACCGATTCGCAGCGTATTGAGGTTCTACTTGGCCAGGCCAATCGGCAGTTTAAGGAAATGCAATCGTCTATATTTTCTGCTGTTTAGTTTGGGAATGGGATGTACAGATCAATCAAAATCTCGTTGTCAAGAGACTAAAGAAAAAAGAGAAGGGAAGTGGTAGCAGAAGCTCATTTAGTTGCCACTGTTGTTGTTGCCACCGTTGTTGTTGCTGTTATTGTTGTCATGGGAGGAGACGGTGCTGCCTGGCGCTGCCACCTTGATCGGAGTCTCTCCCGGGCAGCACGAACTAGGCAGACAGCCTCTGCTGTTGTTGCACACCAGTAGACACGGTCCGATGGTTGCAGAGCTGTCGTTTGCACGGTCGTCTGGCTCTGCGCTGTCTGGAACAACAGCTACTCGGCTGAATACAGAGCCTTCGCGCCCAGCACTCGCCTGGTATTCATCGCCAGCCCCGGCATTGGGGTAGTCATCGACACATGCACTTGGCGAGAGTGCAGCAACAGTTTCTGTCGACGTTGCGTCAGAAGCCGGGCGCTTTCTGGTAGCCACGCTGACTGGCTGACCGACAACAAACTCTGGCTGGATCGTAGTCGAGTGGATCCCGTAGCTGTGCATCACCTGCTTGACCTGGAGTGCAACTTCCATGTACAGACAATCCATATCTACGGCGCCGGGATAGTGCAGTGAGGTAGGGTGGCCATTCCGTGAAACGAGGCGTGCAGGGCGCGTGCTTATCAGAGGCGTTGGATTCTCGCTTGAATCGATTGCTTCGTGGCCACGGCTTGACAGATTGGCCTCGCTCGACGCATTGCTGTTATGTATGCATTGGTGCGATGGCGGACGGTCAATCAGCACGTGGACGGAGGCAACGTTCTTTGTATCCGACAGCTGCCACACGTGAAGATCATGGATATTCAGAACATTGGGTATCGCCAGGAGATCTTTGCGCAGGTCGTCCATATCAACGCTGCCAGGGACGCCATTGAGCAGAATAAACGATGCGCTCTTGACTAGCGGAACTGTAATCCACACAATGAGCGTGTTGATGAGAATTGAGATTGCCGGATCAAAGTAAAAGCGCCAGTGTCCCTCAGCCTTCCAAATGACCAGCCCGCTGATTATAACGGCAATGTTTGTGATACAATCCCCAAACACATGCAGCCAAACGCCATGCATGTTTAAATGGCCGCCGGTTCCATGGCCTTGCTTCTTGCTCTTCTTTCTCTTCTGATGATGACTGTGGCCGTGGCTGTGGCCGTGACCGTGGCTGTGTTTTGGTACAATTGGGTGGATGTCTCCATGCGTGTGTTGCTTCTGCCGAATCTGGTTGTTCTGGCTTGCGTAGGAGCTGGTGGATCCATGTGAGACCACTCTTGGTGACGACCGGATGCTAGCCTCTGCAGAAGAGGCAGCGCCTGATTCTTCTTCGCCTGCTGCCTCGCCCTGCATTTGCTGTGCCGACTCGATTATGGCCTGGTGGGTATATACTGGATGGGGAACGCCGATGATAGACCTGTTGTTTATCGCACTTGAGTTCTGCTGCAGATAAGCAATACGCATTGACGAGGCAGTGGCGGCGCTGGGAGGCATCTCAATCGAGGCATACTTGGCCTGAGTGTGGGCTTCGGTTCCTCTATCGTCGAATCCCCGAGCACTAGGTCCAATCAGCGCATCCTCCTCGTTGGCAACCGACTCCTCATCATCGTGGCTGTGTCCGTGGCTGTGTCCGTGGCTGTGGCCATGGCCATGTTCGTGGAATAGCACCAGTCCCATCAGATTAAACGTCAGGCCAATGCATCCAACAATCATGACCAGCTTTGGGGCCTTGACCTCCTGTATGCTAATAAACCGCTCAACTGCGTCAATGTAGATGGTCAGACACAGCCCAAGAAGAAGTACGCCGTTTGTAAGCGCTCCCAGGATCTCTGCACGCTGCCACCCGAATGTGTTGTTTGGAACTGTCTTGTCAGAACTTGCAACCTATCATCCAAGCCACATGCATATATAGTAACACATAATGTATTCATCGTATAGTGGTAGTGGTGACTTGTTGGCGTATAGTACATACAATGCCATCAAAACATGGGCTTTTTCCATTCCCGATAACGATCTTTCACAAGCCAGCAAAGAAATGATAAAATCACCAGCGACAGTAGCATGTAGTAAGAGAAGGAGAATTGCCACAAAAGGTCACCAAGCAGTAAAAGATCTTTATACGTACCTTTATTGCCCACAGGGCGATGACCATGCCAAGCACGTCATTGAGCATGTGGAACGAGTCTGCGACAAGAGTGATTGACCCAGCAATGATACCGATAACCAACTCGACAAAGAACATTGTCGAGCTCAGAAAAAGCATAATGCTCACCTTGGCAGAGCGTGACAATTTCATTTCTGTGCTCTACCGGCAGCGGTGTGTTGTTTGTGTGTGTTCTGTTTTGAAAGAGACAAAAGTAGAATTTCTGGAAAGAGTCCAACAAGGACTGCAATTCGACAAACGAGGAAAGCTAAGGAAAACAGGGCGCTGAGGTGGAGTAGCAACAGAGAAACAACCAGACAGAGTATATAAAAACAAGGCTATAAAAAGAAAGAAAAAACAAAAAGAGAATAGAAAAGTAAGAGTGGGAAAAAGGGACACTGTTAGAACCTGCAGTTGCAAAGAGCGAAAAGTGAAAGTGTGGTAAAACACAAAGCAAAGAAAGTGGCTTTTTGTACTTTTTGTCTGCTTGCTTTTTTTGGGTCGTGGGTCTAAGAATAGCTGGCGTAAAATCAAATGAAAGAAGAGAAAACCCGCTGCGCCCTTCCCTGGCGGCCGGATTCTCCGAGATTCTAAAGCAAAGCATATATTGTCTGGTTTCTTTTTGCTCCCACTGTGTTTCGGCGGTCTTTCATTTGTTCGGCTTGGCGGCTGTTGCTGCCTTTACAGCAAGTGACTTTGTTTCAAATGACTCCCACTTGCCCTGTCCAGACAACATCACTTTTATCCTTCCCTCTTTTCTCCACTTGACATTCTTTTTTTTTACCTCCGTGTCACACGTGGATCGAAAGAGAGATGGAATGTGAGAGATATCGGCTTTTATTTTTCATATACTCACAGCGGGCATGGAGCGATGTCATCATTTGTCATTTCCATATCATATCATGTCATAATATGGCTAATTGCTGTAACCTTTGAACAGACTTTGTGAAAAGGTATATCCTATGAGACACTACATTTTCAATTTTGCAGCGGTTGTATGCGGGCATTTGGTCTGTTTTGGATTCAAGGGTTCTGTGATGTAGCTGGTTATCATTCGGGATTTTGATTCCCGCCACCCGAGTTCGAATCTCGGCAGGACCTCAAATTTTTTGTTATTATTTGGGGACCTTGCTTTTTTGCATATTGCTCTATTAAACGAATTAATACATTTCACCATATGTTTAAATAATATTTCGCATGCGTTCTTTCAATTGCACACTATCTGCTGTTACAAAACTGTCATCTTTGACGCTTATTTCATTTTTTCTTTTGTCTGGCAGTTGTCGATCAGACTTTTATATTGTTAAAATATAGTAGCGCTACCTTTGTACGGATTGAAAATGAGAATGAACACTATGTATATTATTTTTGCCGCAATCCTAGCGATAAGTGTTGCTGTGGCAGCTGAGAATAAGCTTCAGGACGGAGACGAAGACATCAAGGGACTTTTGGGGATGCGCCCAGACCTTGCAGACGAGCTGGATCCAGTCGACGAAGATGGCAACCGCATTCCGCAAGACAAATCAAGCGAGTCAGGTCCTATTCCACAAGCAGAAAGCAATGCGGCCATCAAAAAGCAGAACGAGGAGGTGGGATGCATTAACGAGTGCAAGGACACCGACCAAAGCTGCCGTGCTAGATGTCTGGGTGTGCCTGGCGTTGCTTCAAGGAAACTCCCCAGAAAGCAAGACATCAATGGTAACCTTCCTTTGAACTGGCGGACACATAGCAGTTCCTGCACGCACAGCTTTTCTATTCACTACTTTACGACCATCTGTTCCATGCTGGTAGTGGTTGTTGTTGCGTGGCTGGTTTAACCTTTATTTTTTGTTGTTGTTATCGTTAGACAACATGCGCTGATTGAAAGTGGAGCGTCTAATTAATAAATGAACGAGTAAAAAAAAGGTTACCCTTAGCGGAGAGAATCAGAATGTCTCTCCATATTTTTCAATTTTGTCAGTTAATCTGGTTTCACAGTTAATGCGTTATTTTACCTCTTTGCTTTTGATCGTGCACACATGGCCTCACTTGTTAGCTACATGAATTTTCTTATTCTTTTTCATCAGAAATACAATGTCAGGCTCAATGGTTTCAGAATTTTGCAATAGACATGGCATGGAATACAGATGGCAAAGCAAATGAGGAAAAGCGCTCAAAATCGTATGGGCATTCTTTTATTCTATTCTATTTTATTATTCATCAATTCTTTAGCCGGGTTTTTAACATCTCATATCTGTCTCTACAAGTTCACATTTATCAGATCCTGCATTCAATTTTTTATGAGCTGCATGTATAAATGCAAAAATACGATGTGTCTACGAAACGCGCAATGGGTACGAATATTAGCCGCTGCAGTAATAATCCGGTTAGCTACAGCAGATAGCACATCGTCGCCAACTGCATTTAGCACATCACTAGCAACAACAACAACAGCATCGGGCTCAGAAGCATCGTTCATCTTGTCTGGCACAAGAAAACAAACGAGTGGCAATGAAAGACCCATACGCGCAGATATGTTGAAGCTACATCGGAGCGGCAACGACAAAGGAAACTCAATGGTCAAATGCCTAAGCGGATGTTCGGGCTCTCGATGTCGAGAATCCTGTCTCCAGAGGGAGCTAAGCGATGAGGAGATTGTTGAACGCACACAGAAATGCCACAACGATTGCAAGGACGAGCCGGATGAGCTGATCCAGATGTGCATACAGAAATGTACCTACTATCTGATGAATCCCGAAGAGCACAATCTGGAGGACGACGATACAAGTACAAGTACCGATGAGGGTGGACTGCTGCCAGATTCGCCACATATCAGGACTCGGATTCGGCTAATCGGACCCGATGGGCTTCCCGTTGTCAGCACGGTGGATTATCCGGTCAATCAGCCGTCCGAAGTAAGCAACGCTATTAGTGCGGCTGCAGAAACTGCAAGCGATACATGGACGCCCATGTACCGCGTGAGCATAGTCAATAGAGCAGCTGGCGCTATTAGTCTGGACTGGCTCTGGGGATGGTGTGCTGTGGCTGCAATATGTCTAGCATTGTATATCTAGAAGCAGAATGTGGCTCTTTTTTAGTTTGTTGTCTACTAGATGAGCTTTTTTTACTTGAAGCGCACAAAATAAAAGTGATGGCAAGGATTTCTTTCTTTGTCTTGGCAAACAGGAGGGGATTGTGCAGCAATTGATGTGTTTCTATCAATCAATTCAGCTCAGGCCGCTTTGTTCTCTTCTATCCAAATCTTTTTTATCACGGAAAGTTCTCATGCCCTCTTTTCCTTCTCTTTATCCCCTTTTCTCATTATACTACTTGCTTTTTTTTCTTCTTTTTCCTCTTTAAGCTTTCATTCAAGGGTATTGAATGCCGTGCTGCTTTTTCTTGTAAAGTTGTACTCTACTGTTACTGGCCTCGTTAATTGCAGCGCGACGACAAATGGACCGCATCTGCTGCATTCCGTGGAATCGACGCAAGGTCTTTAAGGCGCTTGGTGTCATTCCCGTTATTCTTACTCTTGCGTTGTTCGGGTGGTCGCTTGTTGGATACACAATGTCGATACTTCCGCTAATCCACAAAGAAAGTTCATGGCTTGGTAAGTATTGGATTTCACTCTTCATTGCTTTATGAAGAATGCGTCTATTCTGCCAGCATTGCACTAAATCATACTCTTTGTTTTTATTGTATGCTGGGTGGCTTTTTTGGGATGAGGCGAGTAGCTGTGATTCTCGGGGCGCTGATATACGCGCTGTGGGTGCTGTCTGCGTGGAGCTACATTGGATGTGTTTTTGTCAGTCCAGGGAACCCGGTTGTTGCTGGTAGCCAAGCGGGTGCAGGTGCCGCTGAGAGCAGCAGCTTCAGCAGAAACGGCCCGTACATTCGCGTTCCCTCCCGCCCCGCAGAAAGCGCACGCACGCGCGCAGACTCGAGCGTACGGATGGCCGACGACCAGGAAAGCCTGAGCTCTGAAGAGAGCGCGCGCGGCTCGTTCGACAACGGCAACTGCAGCGACAACGACAGCACGCCGCTTAACGAGGAACAGATGCGGCGCTCCGAGTTCATGTACGCAATCACCGTGAAGGACAATGGCGAGCCGCGGTACTGTTTGAAATGCAATCTTCCCAAGCCCGACCGAGCCCACCACTGCAGTGTCTGCGGCGTCTGCGTCCTCAAGATGGACCATCACTGTCCGTGGATTAACAACTGTGTTGGCTTCAATAACCAGAAGTCTTTCTTGCTGTTCATAGCCTACTCCACGTTGTACTGCCTCGACATTGCAGTGACCTCGCTGGTGTTTTACCTCAGGCTTATCTTCAATGCTCCTGGATCAGCCGAAATCGATATTACGCCGCTCTTCTTGATAATCCTATCGCTGGCGTTCACTATGGCGCTGATTGGCTTTTTCGGATTCCACATATACCTCACTCTGAACAATCTGACCACGATTGAAAGCTACGAGCGCAACAACTTTAGACAAGAACACGACAGCCGGGGCTCAGGCAAAAAGCACGTCAATTTGTTTGACCTTGGCGCAAAGAAGAACCTGAAGCAGATTTTTGGCCCTCGCTGGACACTGTGGTTTGTTCCCGTTCGCACGCAGGTCGGCAACGGCATGCGCTTCCCCATCAGCTACAAGAACTACAACGAGCTCTGTCATAATTAGTAGTCCACTATTGACTTTTTTGCTACCGGTATGGCTACATTTCTATGTTGCTTGCATATTTCCATGTACAATAGACTTAAAACCTTATTTTTTGTAATAGAAAGCCCAGCGCACACATTGCTAGTGCTAGAATGCTTGCCAGTCAAGAGGAAACATGAAAAACAGAGCCCAACCCCTTTCATTTCCGTAAACGTGATACACTCAATATTGGGGTATTGGGAATAAAACCACTGATCTTATATTGAAAGTGGATTTTGTTGGGCCATATACCCAGCTTCTGTATTATCCACATTCCGTGTTTGGCAAGTGTTTGTGTTTGGGCGACATTCTTTTGGAGTAAACCAGAATAACATATATTCACTAAGCAGGGTGCGCTTACCTGCCCTGTAATGTAAGGTGTCTCTTTTGCAGACTACCCTGCCACTTGATACAAGGATGTTATGTTTTTTACTTTTAAAACAAATACTTTTGCACAGTTTAATGAAGAGCGTAGTAGTCATTCCCAATATTGGTAATTAAAATGGGGAAATTCTTCATAAATCAGCAAAAAGTTTAATATAAATACCAAGCGCTGGTACACCCTTTGCTTCTTTTTTCTTTTCCTTTATTTTCCAAGATATAATTCAACTTTAAATTCACCTCCTCGAATTCGTAAAATTCAAGCTATCAAGGCATACTAAAGTTTTTATTATTGCATAAAGCTATCATGTGTTTTGATATTCCAAGAGGAGTGAAGTCAGTAAGTATTTCAGTTAAAGTAGAACATACACGCTCTAAAACACACAAAAGTAGAGCTTCGCTTCCTAGAGAAGTGAGAGCCAAAAGCAAACGGAAACCTAATGAGGAAATACACACTACGGTTGAATTCTCTACCAGGGTCTCACGGCGCTAAGCAACTGTAACTATATACAAGATAGATACTGTGGTTGGATTATATGTTACGTTTAAATATACAAAGTTTAATTATATTATATACTTATTGAATTTATCAGCGTTTTAATGTTTTATATTAATTAACCAATAGAACACAATGTTTCCACAAGTACAAGTAAACAAAGAAAAAAGCGCAAAAAATTGCAATTAGTCTGGCTGAAATCAATACGAATAGCAGATATAATACAAATGACAAATTATGACGATAAACGTAGTCAAATTCTACAAATAGGGCCATTATTCAATATACGTATTAAAATTTCAACTGATGATGCTTAAACAGGATTTCTGGAATGCTATCCAATAGTAGAGAAAACTAGCTGATATTGTCAAAGAAAAAAGCAAGCCATTGCGTTAAAAGGTGGAAATTCCGAAGGAATCTTTTTCTTTATTGACAAATTCTCTTTTCAACAAGTCACTTTGTATCATTTTCTACTTTAATATATTTAAATAATGTCGAATTACGGAAAAATAAGGTCAACACTCATTCTTTGCGAAAATGCTTATAGTA